GAAAGAAAGAAAGAAAGAAAGAAAGAAAGAAAGAAAGAAAGAAAGAAAGAAAGAGACAGAAAAAGGACATTGGGCTATGTGATTGTAGTCAAAGTAAGAAAGCAGAGCATTGCCTTATTCCAGCAGGGATCATAAACATTAGATGATTAAAAAATTCTTCCACTCTGCCAATGTCCATGAGCTACCAAGAAAACGCCACAAATAGTTACCAGTAAGTTTTCAAAGTCGATGAATTCATACATACACAAATAATGAGGATCAACTGTAATCACAGCTAGGCTTTATCAATATTTTGCAGCAGAACGTTCATCACAGAGCTGCTTAAAGTCAAGCACCTCACCATTGATAAAAACACCATCCCCTAGAAGCACTCTGCATAATGGAAATGCAAGCAATACAATTCGTCTTTCCGTTTATTAAATATATCCACTGTCTTCAGCAACAACCACTTCTGTTCATTATTCAATTTATCGTCAGTTCCCATGTGTGACAAGGAGGAAGACTGAGGCAATTCCTAGCTCTAACATACCCCAGAGAAAATATGATCAAAGCCACCATAATGGTACAATGTATGTGAGACTGGTTAAAAAAATATGCTATGGGGATCAAAGGTGAGAGAAAGTGTATCCTTCTGGAACTGTGAGGAAAAGTTCACAGAGATAATGATGTTTGAAAGGATCTTAGAGAGTAAGATGATAACGTGGAAAGACATGCTCTGTGAGGTGAGAGGGAACCAGCTCAGGTGTAGGGAAAGCAGAGTGCCTGCCAATTGTTAACTAGCAGGAAAATGGCTAAATGAAGAAAGAAGACAGGTCCAGTCAACCTAATCCTGTTTCTAGAAAATTCTTGGTTCATTCTACCTTCCTGCCATGGTGGTTAATTTTTTCCCTGTCCATGGCTCACCTCCTTAACTAAACTACACATGAAGACAAACAGGGGTTACCCTTCTTTATTCACTGGTCTCACTCCCTCACTCCTTACAACACTCTCCACACACAACACACATCCAATATAGAAAAGGTCACCCTACACCGACACCTGTGCCTCACCCAACTCCAGGAAATATTTACCCACTCACTATTGGCTTTACAAACAAATTAAGCCTTTAACAACCTGAATTGTTTACTGAGAGTACAGGTCTTTCTCATGGAGCAAATGACTAAACTTTGTAACAGGAAGTAACTGTGTGGGGAAGGGACTTATTGAAAGTGCCACAATCTTATACTGCATATTTTATTACCATATTTAACTAAAACTCAACATTAACTATTTAACTGAATCTCCACATGTTGCAGTTGAAATTGTAAATGCATAAGTATGTCTTTCAAAATTCTCATGGCTTTTTCTATTGATTTTTTCTCCCGTGACTATAATTTCTTGAAATTTAACAAATATTTATTGAGTTCTTGGGGTTTATAATATTACCCAAGCTTAAACATTTCTGAATATTCTTGCATAGTAACAATTTTCTATATAAAATTATTAGTTTCTTTTATCTCCAGTAAATTATTTTCATTATAAAAATATTTTAAGAAGACAATTCCTCCCTTTATCAACTGCTCAAATAGGAATGTCTTCAGTGGCAGAAATTCAAAAACTATTAAAAAGAGTAAATACATAAAGTCAAGTATACTTCAGGTAAAATAGGATTACAGTTCTATAGTAGACAGTCTGTGGCTAGAAACATATATATTAATTTCAGCTTATTTTTTTTATTGTTTCTAAACTTGAATTTTGTGTTAGAATACAGAATCAAGTTTTTCCGGGCATAGTGGCACATGCTTCTAATCCAAGCACTCAAAAGCCTGAGCAAGGAATGCTGAAGTTTGAGGCCAACCTAGGTTTCATAGTGAGTTCAAGGCTTGTCTGAACTACATGATACTTTGTCTCAAAAAAAAAAAAAAGAGCTCGGGATAAGCTCAGTGGCAGAGCATGTGCCTGGCAAGTGTGAATTCCTCAGCTTGATTCCCACTACCAAAAAAAACCCCAAAATTCAAATTTTAAAGTATACATTTCTTCAGTCAAATTGTTACACTTACTGTTTCAAAACCTCGATGTGGATGATCAGGAAATCCTCCAGGTCTACCTCCTTTGAATTCATCAAACAGTAAAAATGGATCCAGATTTTTTAACTAAAATAAAGATAACATTCAGCAGATTAGACATGCCTTTTAAGCCATACCTTTTAAGCCTTTATAGCTACTAGGGCTATATTCATGAACAAGTTTAGAAAAACTCCTTGAAAACTGCATAACCAGTGAAGAAACTTCTACAATGAAAATTGCTTTAAGAAAGATTATATATATATATATATATATATATATATATATATTGACTGTTTATGTTACAGTCAACATTTTATGAGACGAGCCTAGCATTGACAAACAGTCCATGATCATCTAAGATATAAATAATCAAGTACAAACAAGATCAGTCTGCACCCTGAACAGATTTACAATAGCCAGGAGGAACAGACCAGAAAATTGATCATTGTAGTGTGAGCATAAGTGTCAGGAGGAAAACACCTTCACACACATAAGATCCTGGGAGGTGCTACCAGGGAGGTGGCACTTGAGCTGGGTCTTCAAGTACATGCACAGACAAAGAGGAAAGGAAGGGTACTTCAGGGAGAAGAGTAGAGAGACAGCTTGGCGTGCTTGAAGAAGTGCAAGGGAACTACTCTACCAGGGAAAAAGAGGCACATGGAATTATGATGAAAGATGGGCAGAGGGACAGAGGTCAAAGCTTACAGACATATGGATCTTATCTTTAAGGTGATGGGTTTTAATCAAGGGTTGAGATAATCAGATTTTAAAAGATCACTCTATGAAAATAGAAGGATACCAAAACAGGGAGCGATGGAGGGGGAAGGAAGGGGAAGGAGTTGAAGAAAGAATGAAGATGTGTCATGTACATGTACAGCCTCTCCATGAAGAATTTAGTCATTGTGTGTTGCAACCATGAATTAATGAAAATAAAAATTCAGGGCCGCCAAGATAGCTTAGCAGAATAAGTGCCTGCTTTGGCAAGCTCAGAAACCAGGGCTCGATCTCACATACCACACCAGCCCCACCCCTGGGCATACTAGCCGTCCACTAAGTCTGGGTGTGGTGGCATGCACATGTAATCCCAGCACATGGGAGGCTGAAAACAGGAGGATCACTATAAGTCGAAGCTGTGTAGTGAGACCCTATATCAAATACATAAATTTTAAAAAAGAAAATAAAAATTCAAAACAAAACAAAAGACCACTCTACGAAAGATAATTTGTTAAGGTAAGAGAAGGATATTTACAAATTCATTTCAATAGTCTCATAAGAAGAATTAAGATATATCATTTACAGGCACAAATTCCCTATGATGATTGTGATATATATATATATATATATATATATATATATATATATATATATATATATTGTGCTGATAAAATTAATTTTTAAGAAAAGAACTAAAGCAATGGCAGTAGTAATGGGAGATGGCTGATTGACTAGGCAGATATTTATGAGGGAAAATGAATGAGAATTCAATGACCCTCAAACTTCTAGCTATGGTGCCAGGGAAGATGGTAGGATCACTAAGCCACTGAAAGAATATAAAAGATGCAAAATAAAAGACACGTAATAGGAAGTAGGGATTTGAATTTTTCAATTGGGAAGGGAACCAAGAGATGTAGGGAGCATTGAGGTGTGTTATGTCCACCACACAAAGAATGAGATCATTATGTACTGCAAACATGGACTAACACCAAATAAGAACTGGGGGTGGGGTGGGGGGAGAGAAGCAGCAACCTGGATCAATTTGGGGGAAAATGACATTTATATAGTATTGTTTTCCTATTAAGAAAGGCAGTCAGCATGACTGACACTGACAAAGGTTCTACAATCTGAGCTACAGGATCTCAGGATAAATCCTGAGGGGATTTCACTAACCTTCTCAGACCCAAAAGCTACAACTCTTGTTGCACAGGTCCTGCTTTACCTCGGTCTTAACCATCCAGCCGAAAAGTAGAAAAACAAGTATAAGGAGTAAAGCCATGGTGTTATGTTGAGCTGTGGGGGACTCAGGTCAACAATTTCTGACATTGCCAGTGAAGTGGAAGACCCAATACTATTACGGGCTACTGGACTCTTTTGGAATATTTTGCTGAGTTAACACACCCATAATATTCAAATAATGAAGTTAACAAAAAAAGGGGATACAGATGAATGTCCATTTTGTATCTGTGTATTCAAAGCGGTTACAATAGATATATAGTTACACTCTCTTAATGAATAGAATGATTTGTTCTAATAGTGTTTCTAAATAGGATATCAAGTCCACATCTTGTGCAGCAATTAACCACTAGGAAGAATGTATGCAATGTGTGAATTACTGAAACTGTCCTACAAATTTGATTTGAAACTGTCTCATTGCTATTTATTTCTCAATAAAATTATGGGGAAAAAAGGCAGTTGTCTCCATTTTAAAAAAATTTAATGTCCCTCAATAAGGACTTATAATTTCCTTCATAGAGATTTTTGATTACATGTTTTATTTTTTTCTAGCTAACATATTTAATGGTATTATGAAAAGCGATTTAAATTATATTTTGAAGGCTGGTAAGATGGCTCAGTGGTCTAAAGCACCTACTTAGGACAAGCTTATCAAAGCACAGGGACCGCGGTTCAATCCCCCAGCATCACATGCCAGCCAGCCCTTCCCGCTGGTGGGCTGAGCTGGCCACACACACACACACACACACACACACACATAAATAAATAAAATTTAAAAGAATATTAAATTATATTTTGAACAATTTGCTTCTGGAGATTAGACATACAAATGGAAAGGCGATTCTGAACACTGTTTAGCTCTCATTTTAACAGCTCAGCTGTAGCTTCTTTTGGTTATTCATATAGCCAGTGTATTTATCAGCAAGTTTCCCCCCACCTGTGCATGGTGCCTTGTGCTTCTACTATGAGCACTTGGGAGGCTGAGGCAGAAGGTTAGCCCATTAGACCAGCCTGGGCTACATAGCGAGTTCAAGGCCAATTCTGTGCTACATAATAAGAACCTGTCACAATCCACCATCTCCCCCAAAAATAGGCTTTTCCCTAATGGTTCACATATTTTTTGTTTGTATTAGATTGAAGCTGTGACAGCTCCAATTTTTGTGTTTTTCTGGCCTCAACTGGCCTCTACGTATCTTCTCATTCATGAACTTAGGCCAGAACAGTGCCTCCTATAAAGGACAAGCATGGTCAAGCTCAGAGTAGGAGAAGAGCAGCACACACACACACACACACACACACACACACAAAAGCAAAACAAAAATTTGGCGCCGGGGATACGGCTCAGTAGAATAAACGCTTGCCTGGTAAGCACAATGGTCTGAGTTCAATCCCCAGTTCCGCAAAAAAAAAAAAAAAAAAAAAAAGGAAGCAAGCAGCACGGTCCTGCCTATGGGAGTCATGGGTAATGCAGTAAAAATGGACGTGAGAGCATCATCCTATCACAAGGATGAAGCAAATATCTGGCAGTCATATTCCAACCAATGTTCATTAGAGAATAACTGCTTCCTTTTATTTCTTTTTACTTTTTAATTTTTTTCTGTATTTTAGGGAAGCATCTACAGGGTGTTCGGGGTCTTACTCCTAGATCAGACTTGTAGTGATCTGCCTGTTTACAATGTCCCAAGAGCTGGGATTACAGGCACGCGCTACCACACCCAGTCTCAATTGCTGTCTCAGTGCTCCCTGGGGGCGGGGCCAGCACCGCAGGCCCGGGGATGGAATCCCAGGTCCCTGAGCAATTTGGCTGGCCCTATTTTTAATCTTTATAATTTCTGTTTCTTTTTCTGGTCTTTTTGCAAGCTATCATCTCTGCAAGTGTCAAGTAGAAGTTATTGCTGCAAATATACTTACTTGTCTCACCACAGACTTTACCCAGCTTGATTTCTGAAGTTTCACTGGTAACCAGATTGCTTAATGCAGAAGTTGCTTTATTTTAATTTTAATGGCTTTTTGTAGATTCACTTCATGAAATTCAGGGGCTTCCCCTCTATTTGTAGTTTTGTATGTTGTTGACTATTTTTACAAAATATAAATGGATGTTGAATTCTCAATGCCTCTTCTACATCAATTGTAATATTTATATACATTTTCTCTTTTTAAGCTCTTTTTGTGTAATACTAGGGATCAAGCCCATTATGTCTTAAAAATATTTTAAGTATGTATATATAATGGTATATAATTTAAAATTTAAATATATAATATATGAATCATATATAAGTATATGTAAATAAATATGTGGCATATAAATAAAAGTGTAAGTGTAAGTAAATATATTTTTGAGTACAGTTCTCACTAAATTGGTATACTGCCCAGGCTGGACTCAAATCTGCAATCCTCCTGGCTCAGCCTCCTAGAGTGCTGGGATTACAGGCATGTACCACCATGCCCATCTTCCTTTAAACTCGTAATGTTAGTAAGTTACACACAAAGTTTTTCTAACAATAAGATAAACTTGCTCTCTTCAGATATTCCAAACTTGGTCATGAAACATTATTGTATTTTGTTGGATAATATTTTATTTGTAACTCTAGCAAAAGTATTTATAAATGTGATACAAATATCCTTTCACTTTTGGCATTGTCCAGTCCTGGCAGCGTAGCAATTTCAACTTTATAATGGGATATGAGGACCACTTCTTCCAGTTTCATTCTCTGGACAATTTGTTATTGTTGGAATTTTCTAAACCTTAAATATTTGGCAAAATTTGTCTGTAAAATCATCAAGACCTGTTGTCTTTGAGAAAGACTTTAAAAATATGGATTTAATTATTCATATGGGAATTAAACTATTTAGATTGTCTTATTTCTTCTTTTTCAATATTTTTTGTTTTTTAATCTTTTATATGTAAAAGATTATTTTTTCCATAATTTTATTGATGAACAAATAGCAATGAGACAGTTTCAAAAAGACTCTTTCTATAACTTCTTTTCAGCTCATCTAATTTTTTTTTATGTATTTAGTATGGGGTCTACAGGGTCTCACTACACAGATCAGACTCATAGTGATCCTCCTGTTTTCATCCATCCCAAGCACTGGGATTACAGGTGCACTCCACCACATCCAGTCTCAATCGCCCA